GCATTTATAAAGTCACATGATAGTAGATGAATAAGCTTTTGATGGACTGTCATAATTTAAGGACAATAAATGAAGAATGTGTGCATAAATTCAATGTCCTATCAAAGGTAGGGGCCACGCACAGTGGGCCAAGATGTTTGCCATCCCTTCCACGAAAAAAACTTTGCAATTGGTGCGAAATTGCCGCCCCTCCATACATAGAAAAAAGTCACGCCTTGGGCGGAATGCCCCCCTCCACCCTTGCCTTCCCACGCAAGAGCATAATATGCGCACTTCGTGGCGTAGGAAGAGGGGTGTGGAAGGGGTCAGCCCGCTTAGGGTGGCTCTATATATATATATTTTTATTGAAGGGTGGCTTTTTTCGGGTAAGCACAGAATTAAAAAAAAAAAAAAATTTGATGTGTTAATTAATTAATTTTTTAGCTTGAATTTTCTGCCCTTAGAAACTGCCAATCTAGGCAGCCGACTGTGTCACTCCCAGTTCTTCGTGTGAAACTTTCTTGGGAAATAGAATTCTATGGATAAGTCACAAGCACTGAGTCTGTATAACTTCCAGCTTTTGCTCTAATGTGATGTTTTTATTTGTCCAGACGCCAGCTAATAAACAACAACATAAAGAGAAAAAAGAAACTAGCTCTGCAGAAATCGAGTTTCTTTTTTTCTCTTCCTTTTGTTTTGCTCTGTTCGACGAAGGCTTTCACCCGATACGTCTGGTATGTTCTTTGTGATCAGCTTGATACTTTCCCCATGTCGTGTTCCTAAAATATTTCTCTCCGTATAGCTTGAACGCAGACTCATCGGTAAATGTAATTTTAATACATCTATATGTAATAGTACGATAATAATTTTCACGGCTGTTCAGTCAAGCAATCGTCTTTATTTCATTGACATGTTTGGTTGAAAAATGTTAGTAATTACTCGTAATGTTTCATAACATAAAATAAATTGAAAATTGATGATTTACTGCAATATTTATTCGATTTTTTTCTCTATATTTTCAATTCATTAGTTTGGACGAAGAGACTATAAATATGGATGAATATTCCCCACCAATCCTGATTTTTTTTTTTTAAAACCCACCTCTGTCTGGCCGCTAGCGTGTATCCATGATTTGATTCGAAGTAAAGTTTAGGGATAAATCCGCTTATTGAATCAAAGACATTTTACCAATCTATAAACTATCAATACAGCACAGAAATCACGCAAGTGTACTCTTGTCAGTAAAACAAGTGGCTTCCATGTGATGCCGGAATGATAGCAAATAAAAAAAAAATCAAGTAATCTTTTGACGTCATTAGCACAACCGCCAATTTATGTGGTGATGTCGGGATGTGGTCGAAATTGTGAAAATGTCAGTCTCATGATAACATACACCTGACAGAGTGAAATGAAATAGCTGTGAATGGGCCATTAAACATATCAACATGCTGATGATAATCATATAATTAGATTGTTTTCTGTATGATGCCATTATTTACAACTGTCAAATCTAAGGTAAAATCCAACGGAGAACAAAAGCATTGAATGAACAACGAGCAACGTTTGCATACCAGTGTGCTGCAATGTGCGTCTGTCGGTCTGTCACTCTCTGTTTACATAAATCAGGCACGCCAAGTCACGTCCAATAAAGCCTACTTTACTGGCCTTTCAGCAGTAGATTTGATTTAGGGCCACTGGCCACTTATGGGATATTTTATTGTACATAGGGTCTACATATGTGAAATAAAAATCTCAAGAATGCAAGCAAGACTTTGTGGTAATTTAGATAAATACAAAAAAGTAATTGCCATTTAATTTGCCTTAAAACACATATAAAAACGTTGAACACACAACTATTTTATTATGGTTCTAATGACAATTAATAAAAGCACCACCTATGTGTGCCAGCCCAGACTAGTACACGCCCCAACACTATGATAATAGTCCCAACACCTTTTACCACGCAATGAATACATTCTCTTTTTAAAGGTAGGTCCTTATGGTTCAAGAAAATTTGTATTATTTATTAAAGTAAGCTACATTCTAAAGACAAAATCTACAACAGATTCGGGTTTCGAGATATTGGTATTAAATATATACCCCCACCCCAAAAAATGCCAAGTACATTATATTGTAAATTCAAATTTCTTTTGGAGTGAAAAAAGTAGTCTACATAATTTTTAATATTAACATGTTAACAATACAAAGCTTCATTTCTGTATGGTGTGTTAAATTAATAGTTAGAAATTTTAATTAAGGTCTCAAAAGATGAACCTTCATGTTTAAAACAAAAAAAAAGTTTGTCAGACCTAACTTGTTTTAAAAAGAATTATATATGTATTGGTGTTTAAGTTTCTACCATCATTTAGTTATGAGAAATATTTATCTGCAACATTGTATAGGCCTACCCTTCCCTTTTTCACGCCCCTGAAAAAAAAATCTAAAATGGCTCTTAAATGTAAGAACAGAAAATAGAACATTTCATAGGTCTCACTTTTAATTAAATTATCTATCACTTATATATATATATTACGCTTCTGGTATACTGCTTCCATTTCCGACTGCTTCCTAACAAGCTGGCTGCTTCCTATTCAGCGTATTTGGTACTGAGATTATTTTCGTAACTTTTGCTATATGCTTGGTTTTTTTTGACGTATATTTGGATATGGGAAAATGGCGTTGTTAATGCTGTTATGTTTTAGCAGGAGCGGCAGTGAGGGCGTAGTTAGTAATGGTGTGTTTGCAATGGTGTGTTAGTAATGGGGTTCTTTATTTAAACAAGAGACTTTGCTACATGAATCATTGGTTTGTAAAATAATCAATAAAATAAATTATATTACAAATAATTCTCTACACTACGTTTAAAGAAAGTATACTTCAATAGTATAGAATGCAAAATATAATTCCTGGTAACTACGCTAAATGATATTATTTGTAAATAACGCAACTGCATTTGGTGCGTAACATTTTCTTTTCGGAAAATGAAATCGTCTCGATTTAAATATGGTGTAATAAATATTCGGTTTAAAAGTGGTTGGGACATCAGAATATTAATATAGTTCATGGGCGTGAAATATAAGTGTGCAGTGACGTATCATGGGGTTATGGAGTGATCATCTCCTCTAGGCCCCAAACATTTTGAAGTGGTGTGGCAAAAATTGGGACTCTTAAATGCGCGTTATTTGGGTTCATGTTTTGTCAAGTAACTTAAGTAGATGGGAAGTTCACGTATTTATATATTGTGTGAGATTATGCACGCGTACACTAGCCGCGCAAACCAAAGTAACTAATTTTGATTCTTTAAAACACTGGAAGTATATTACTGGAATAATATTTTTGTGTGTATGCCACTTAGAGGTTTCCGGTTGGCACACTCATTTGGGGGGGGGGATGGAGACCAAATGGAATATAGTATATATTCAGTCATATTGGTTTCACCACACATCTCAGTTAAATACAAGAGCAGCGTCACGAGAGCAGGGTGTCATATGCAAAAGACGCCACCATAGTAGGGTGCCACCAGGGCAATGTGCAACAAGAGCAAGTTGCCACCAGAGCAATGTACCACAAGTTGCCACCAGAGCAATTTACCACAAGTTGCCACCAGAGCAATGTACCACAAGAACAAGTTGCCACAAGAGCAGTGTACCACAAGAACAAGAGCAAGTTGCAACCAGAGCAGGCGTTTTCGGAAGAGGTCCGTGGGCAAGCCACGAGGGGTTGACACCATGCGTTTACCACATTGGGTGACAACAACCCTAGTGACACAGCTGGGCATGAGATAAAATATGTGACTTGACCACAATGACGTTTATCTGACGAGACATGTGGTAACGATAACTGCCGAGCCACTACTAACCATAATATGTGGGTTACGTTGTTCAATTAAATTGACCAGATGCACGGTTACCAGAAAAAGAATCGATTTAAGGAACGTACTTTTAATATAATTTGATTTATGTCCTTTTGAGATTTTCATTTTCATCCCCTTAGGTGTAATTTACTCCCACTCGTCGGCCCCTAGGACAGTATTTACGAATAATTGGATTGAGAAACGTATATTTTGACCACGAAATATTTGTGTCATCTTATTATTATTTCACTGTGCACATGTCTTGTGTCGTGCACGGGGAAGGGTGTGGTTATGGAGCGATCATCTCCTCTAGGCTCCCAACATTTTGAAGGAGCATGCGTGTTTGAGGGGAGCACCAATCTTTTGTATTTGTTCAACTATTTTTTTTTTTAGTTCACGAACTCAAAGGCAATTCCCCCCCCCCCACCCTTCCCTGAACTACGGACCTGGCTAGAGCCTTGTCAGACTGTAGGACCCCATTGTTAAAGATTGTATAGTTTTCATCTTGGTCAAGAGTCTTCTTACAAGAAAGCCAGTCATCTTGCATGAGAGTCCGTCATGCTTGGACGAGAGTCAGTCATTTTGCATGAGAGTCAGTCATTTTGCATGAGAGTCAGTCATTCAGTCTGCGCGAGAGTCGAGCTGTAACCGGATTCCATGAAAAGTAGTTTTGAATACTTTAAAAGGCATACTTCGCTTTTTTCAATAAAATGTTTCCTGTGGGTAGAAAAGAAAACAGAAAACAACTCAACACATTTCTCACACTGACAGTACAAATTAAACACAGTATTATTTTCACACCCCCTTTTTTGAATCATAGACAAAACTGAAACATGAATCATAGACACTTTGAAACAGCAGTGGGATATTAACAAGTGGTATTAGAAAAAAAAAAGTTTCTTTGCAATTTTATTAGAACGGAGGACATTAGTAAATCATTTTTTTTTAGAAATAGCAATAAATGTAAACAACCGATGAGCAAACGTCAATAAATGAATCTAAATAAAGTTGCCATAACATTTTTGAGGCTCTGTTAAATAAAACAACATTGATAGTTTCATATCTCTTTCAGCAACAAATAAATGGAAACTTTTGAAAATCAAATGTTTACGCCATTTCCGATGTTCCAAGTGGAGACGCAACGCCAGAAATTCAACATTTTTAGCGTCTGCGCACAACTTCAATGACGCGCTAGTTGTTTTGTCAAACAAAAACTGGCCCATTACCGCTACCGTGGCCATCCTGCACAAATAACTCTGTTCTACATTCGGACTCGGGCGAGTCTCCGAGCTTTAACGAACGCCTTTCCAAAACATTATTGCCGTGACTGGTCTTTTGTAAACAGTGTAGAAGCTTGTTGTTTTCCCCGACGCTAGTTCTGCAGTTCAGCGCCTCTTTTCTAACGTCCGCACTCGAGCAGCTGGCGTTGCTGTTGGTAACTTGAGTTTGCTGGTACAGGTAATGATGGTGATGTTGTCTGCTGTAGTAGGCCGAGTTGTATTTGCCCCGCCCCTGGCGCCTGAGCTTGCAGGTGTAGAAGGACTGTTTGAATGCCGCCCTAAAGTTTGAACTGAGGAGTCCGTATATAACCGGGTTGGTGGCGCTGTTCAGGTACATGAGTATGCGGCTAGTATTGACGAGGTTGAGGAACCCTTCTTGCCCGAGGTCTATGAAATCACTTTCACTCGCGAACAGTGTCCAGACCTGCATGCATCGCAGAGGAAGCAAGCAAATGAAATACATAAACATGACGGCCACCATCATCTTGACGACCTGCCGCCTGCCGGCGATGGCTTTCGAGTTGTTGTGCTGTGCTTTGTCCTGGCTACGGCTCTGACGACTTCCGGTGAAGGAAGTTTTACACGTTACTTTCTCTTCCAATGACGGGATGGCACTGGTGGCGATGGTCAGCGATATGGCCGTGTACATGATGGTAAGCAGAACCAAAGGCAAGGCAAATAACACGGTGAAAATGAACATAATGTACGCCTCGTAAAGCTTCATGCTGATGCCTTTCACTGAGCATTGGTCTGCCATACTCCCGTCAATGTATTCTGTCGACTGTGGAGCAAACAATGTTCTATAGATAATAATGTGAATACAAATTTTTTTTTCTATAGATAATAATGTGAATACAAAAAAATGTTCTATAGATAATAATGTGAATAAAAAAATGTTCTATAGATAATAATGTGAATACAAAAAAAAAAATGTTCGGCTCAGTAGGGTTTGTCATTTAGTAGCGGAAATCTTTTACTAGAACCAGGGCGCCCACAGTTTGGCCGATCTCATTAAATGGTCGAAACATATTAGTAAAACGCCCCAGCACACCGTCTGGGCAATCTCTCAACATCTGTTCGGTACTTGTGCGTCGTTGTGAGTCAGTGCCGTTGGTCTTCACCTTGACTTAAAACTTTTTAAACAAGTTTATTTCACGAACAAATTATTACTTCTCTATATATGCTGAGTTACATTGTAAGCAGCCATGTTTAACGAAAACCTTGTTTAAAAATAGTAACAGTAACATAGCCGAAAGCGAAGTTTTAATGGTCCTAAACTTGACAAATCTTGTTCAAATTTAAAGTTAAAATTAAAAAAAAATATATTTGTAAACATGAATATAAATTAAAGTTTGGATGATACAGCCCACCCTCTTCATCACAGTTAGTTTTAAGATCAGCCCGTTCGGGACGATTTTTTTTTCTTGAAGCGATGGCTCAAAGATACCGGTTTAAAAACTTAGGAGAACTACAGCTTTTTATTTTATTTGTTCTTAGAGTATGGTAACCAGAAATAGAAATAGAAAGAAGAAAATATCTGAAATGATGCATGACGATGCCGGTTATTTACAGTAGGACAACCATCTAAGTATAAATAACTAGCAGGAGACTAAGTGGATAACTCTGGATAACGAATGTTTTACAGGTTATCCAAAAGAGAGACAATCGTGCATTAATTAAACGTGGGATAACTCTGAATGTAACAAGATATTCTAAATATGTATTTATTTATTTAGGCATTTTTGTATAGCGCCTACCTTACAGCTCTAAGCGCTTTACAATTATTAAAAATATGTAAACTATTTAAACTGCTAAAGTAAAATAAAAATGAAAAAACCAGAGACACTAGAATAGTAACTATAATGTGAAAAATGACTATAGAAACAGTAGCTTAAAAATTAAAATGGCTATAAAAACGAGTACACTTTGGCACGTTTTGGCTTATACTACAGGATCAACCCGAGACAGAAAATGAGGCAGGGCAAGGAAGGTGCATCACAGGTCATAGGCGGACCTAAACAGATGTGACAGGGTACGTGCTATTTCATAGCCTGGGGTTTACCCACAGCTATCAAAGTGACACCCAGGCTGTGTGTTACCTTATTACTACTAAGCGGCACATACAGCGAGAGAGGAACGTTTAAAATGTGTAAACAAGACATGCAAGAAAAATAATGTTTACCTGTGTACCGTAGATCAAGGCAAATGGTAAAGTCGCTAGGCAAGAGAGGATCCACACCAGAGGGATGAGAATATTATGGGAGCTAACCCTGGAGCTAAAGTTTTCCCTCAGCGGATGGCAGATGGCATGGTATCTCTCGAACCCGATGGCGAGCAGTGTTAACACGGAGCAGTGGTGAGCTGCATTTTCGGAGAAAACTACCATTTTACCTGTGGAAACAAAAAAGAAAAGATATAAATTTAGTCATTCTCATACGAGCAGAAAAATATAAGACAATATAAAATACCAATGACTTGTAAAATAGATAATAAAAAGTGATCGCCCTTCGATATTATATTTAATTGGTGATTTTGACGTGAAATGGGTAGGTGGCAGTTTGATGCCGGCATACAGTGTTTAAATGAAAGAGATTTTACAATATACACACGCGGTGATCTTGAAAGTAACTGGTAGATTAAGTAATTATTATTATGTAAAACAATGCACCTGTACCTTGTTGTTTTGATTGAGCTATAGGAGCTTGTATGATAAATCCATTGTTCGTACGCCCAGAGTTTCTTTCAGAAAATTTCCCCCGGAGGGCACTTCAGATTTTCGGAGTTGGGGGGGGGGGCGGTGCCAGTGGAAAGAGGCGTAGCTAAAGAGGGCATAGGTGACAGACGTCCCAGGGCACCAGACTAGCGGGGGCATCTATGGGGGCTATAGTGTTAAGGGATGAAAATAATGGGTTTCAGAGTTTAGCGGAGGAGAGGGAGTAAACATGAATCTTGTCCCCTGGCACCAAATATTCACGCCAGTCACGTAGAAAAAGGGGGGGGGGAGCGAATATTTGGTCTTCCCAGGTGTCAGTTTCTATCGAGAAAGGTAGCGCGGCAAAAAAGTTGACCCACCTAGGGTGACGTTTAGCGGAGGAGAGGGAGTAAACATGAATCTTGTCCCCTGGCACCAAATATTCACGCCAGTCACGTAGAAAAAGGGGGGGGGGGAGCGAATATTTGGTCTTCCCAGGTGTCAGTTTCTATCGAGAAAGGTAGCGCGGCAAAAAAGTTGACCCACCTAGGGTGACGCTAATACTAGGCACGCCGCTGGACAGTGTATATGTCAGCACCAACATTGTTTGTCTGGAAAAGCAATGCTGACATTTTTATCGGGAAGTTGGGCAGAAATGGAGCATTCCGATGGCTTTTCCTAACTAGAAAATCTTTGATTATTTAACAATCAAGAGTTGAATTTAGGAATATACATGATATGAATAGTACAGAATAATCATAAGGAACTTTATAATGTCAGCCTGTGCAATATCTGGTACCCTATACACAGGCGATATGGCGTTACTTGGTAGAAACAACAATTGTGATATAATTAAAGCTTTCCAGAGAACTTGAACATGTCACGGTCAAAGCTGGTCTTGATGTCAATAAAGCGAAGGGCATCTATATGATGATGTCAGGAAATACGCCCACTGGTGACAACATCAGTACGAACAACCCCACCTTTGAGAGAGTGGCTACTTTTAAATATCTAGGGCTGAAAGAAAGGACAACAGCATGCAACCGTTCTTATTTCAACTTTAAAAAGCTACTATTTCGAAGAAAAAAATCTCTCATTAGACCAGTAGTAACTTAAGGATTAGAGACTTGGTTCCTACCAGAAAAGCAGGGAACCTGCTCACTATATGACCCGATGACATCCAGTTTTGTTTTGGGAATCCGTACAAACCAAAAGCTATATCAGTGGTACAAAGACCCATCCATAGTCGCAACAATTTAAAAAAAAAAGACAGACTGCCCTGGACAGGACACATTGAAAGGATACCAGATTCTGAAGCAGTAAAAACGATCTACAGGCAGAAACCTAGGGGCAGACGGTTGACCGGTCGACCAAGACTAAGATTGATTGACGATGTAGATAAGAACTTACATAGATTGGGGGGTGCGCGCAATGAGGCGGAAAGCTATGGATCGATCCAAATGGAAGAATGCGGTGGAGCAGGCCACGGTCCTACATGGGATGAAGCGCCACTGATGAAGAAATTTCAGACTTGTGGGTGGAAAGCGCTAGAAATAGCCATAACAACAAGACATCGCCGACTCTTCCACCAGCCCAATATTAACTAATTCCATTCCAGTTGGGAGCCCCTAGGGTTTGCTTTTTTTTGTCGAGAGATACTCTCTAGCTTAGACTCGCCACTTAAACCCTTATAGGCCCCGGAAAATTTTGATAACTGCAAAATCCAAGAATGCATTTTTGTGCATAGTTAAATTTAGTTTTGCATCATTATACACTTAATTTTAGAGCAACTGGAGAGATGCTAGTTAAGATTCTTTGTGTCACGTGACCTCATAGCCATCGTGTGAGGTCTGTAACCCGTATCGCTGCATAGGGCCTCGTATATTTTAGGGGCTTAAAGTTGTCCTGTAATTACTTTAAATTATCAAATTTTACTGCTAGGTAGGGAAGGACAAAACCGAAAAGGTGTGCCACAAAAAGTCAAGCGAGTCTCTGCTTGACTAAGTGTGTTATAGAATATATACACTTTTTATTTATTGAAGAGTAATGTGTTTTATAAGTTTTTATTTGAAATATTTTTGTGGTAAACTACATAAAAATATAATGAATTTACGACAAAATATTTTCAAAATTTAAAAGAGAATTCCATCACAAAAAAGAAATGCTAAAATAGTTTGACATTTTGAAAGAATAAGAAAAACCAAAAACATAATTTTATTTCTAAATATTTCCAAGGTTTACCAAGTCAAAAAGAAAAAAAAAAAGCTTTTTCTGTAGATCTACATTTTCATGGATTTTAAAAATTGGTATTTATTTATAAATCGTTTGTAGCCGACATAATTGTTAAGAAGACACGAGTTGTTTACAAAAGACATCATATATTTTTTAATGTGTGATTTTTTGTGAAAGAAATCGTATAAAAAATAAATTCTCAAATTTCAGTTGATGGAACAGTTAATTTAGATTCTCAAGCCACTATAATTTGCTTCAGATCAATTACAACTTGCCTCTTCGATATTATACTTTAAAACAATTTTTTTTACCAATTCCATAGAATTTATTTTTTAACTACTACCAAAAATGGCATTTACAAGATAATCGAAATATAAGATAAAAAAAAATACGTTGTTTAAATATAGAAAGTATTTTCTTTCTAATTGATTATCATCTAAAAAATGAATTAAAACAAATTAGCTGAAAAAGCTGAGGAAGATTGTTTATTATTCTCATATGAAACGTTGGGAAAAGTCGTTGGGGATTCAATAAATAAAGGCCAAGCATTTAAAAAAAAAATCTCTCTCTCTCTCTCTCTCTATATATATATATATATATATATAATTCGCCAACAAGGGACAAACAAGACGGGTCAAACACCAAACAGGCTATTTATAGATAAGCCAGAGCGTGGTTCAATAATGAGTTCAATAGCGCGCAAAATATAATTCCCGATAACTACGCTAAATGATATATATCTATTTTTAAAAACACAATTGCGTTTGGTGCGGAATATTTTCTTTGCGGAAATGAAATCGTCTCAATTTAAGTGTTGTGTAACAAAATTTCGGTGTATAAGTGGTTGGGACATGAGAATATTAATATAGTTCATGGGCGTGAAATAACAAGTGTGCAGTGACGTATCATGGGGGGAAGGGGTGTAGCAAATATTGGGATTCTTTTAAATGTGCGTGACTTGAGTTCATGTTTTGTCTGTCGCCAATGTTTGGCGGGGTATATCTAGTTCATTTTATTCTGCTGTTCCCGAAACTGTGTTGCAAAATTAGAAACGCACTCGATTTAATAATAATTTATGAAATGTCCAATATTTGTATGCAACCGGTAAATTCCTAATTTTTTTGTTTTAAAATAGCTTTTTTATGTGTGCTACTTTTTTTTTTAAAGTTTTCATTTTATCTAACTCAATATACATGTATGGAATCTACTACATTAAAATGTATTTAAAATGTAAAAACACATTTTTTTAAAAAGCATGAGGCTATTATACATTTTATAATTAACACTTATCTCTACTTAAACAGTCATGCTTTTATGATGAAATATAATTTGAAAACAGATTCCACAAGCTTATTACTTATCAAGAACTATATTCCATTTATAGACCTTAATATCGATGTAAAGTTAGTTTAATACAGGGTTATTAAAGTCTTTCAACTTGTGCACTGCAAAATATATATAAATAAAAATACCGATATATGCAAATAAGAAAAAGTAAAATTTGGGCATATGATCAGCAGCGGCCAATTTTCAAAACAATACGATGTTTATAATCGAATTCTTTGAGCCTGTAACAAGATTAACCTGAACGATATGGATCATCAATATATATCGAACAAAGCGATATTTTATTGGTTCAATTAATTGTACTCGACGAAAGACACATATTTCTACTACTTTTAAAATTCTATAAAATTAAATTTAGAGTAGGTTTTTGTTAATTTTGTTTTTTCTTACACATTTTCCACCCGGGCGCACTTGACTTGCTCCGAGGGGGGCAGAGCCCCCACCCCCGAGGTATGCCTGAAAGAAAACCTGCGTGCGCCCTCAAATTATAGAAGAAGAAGGGATAGGTGCATTTTTAGAATAATGTGCCACAAATCACTGTATGATTATTATGGTTCCTATTCCAGCAGAGCCATATTGATGATCCTGTTATCGAGACTGTGGGGCTGGCACATATTATATAACACAAAAATAGGACATTTTGACCCACCCCTACTCATTATAAAGTTGTGTAACATTTCCATTTTACACCCCCGGTATATTACATAAAATTTCTAGCAAAATCTCCCCCCCCCACCGCCCCCCCCCCAACATGCAGATAAAACCGAATAAAGTTAAAAAAAACAAGCCAAAACAAGACAAACTCAAGCAAAAAAGCCAGGAATTAATATCTATATCTATATCTATATCTATATCTATATCTATATCTATATCTATATCTATATCTATATCTATATCTATATCTATATCTATATCTATATCTATATCTATATCTATATCTATATCTATATATCTATCTCTATCTCTATCTATATATCTATATCTATCTATAACTATATCCATATCCATCCATCCAACCATCCGTCAGGCAGCCAGGCAGGCAGGCAGCCATCCATCCATCCATCCATCCATCCATCCATCCATCCATCCAATCCATCCATCCATCCATCCATCCATCCAT